ACAGTTCTTTCGGTTTTTATACCGTAAGCTGGTTAATATATGCAGTTTAAATTTGAAAGATTTGTTTATAGTTCTATTCACACACAAAAAAACAGATTGTAAGGGATAAATCCAAAGTAATATTATACTGACCAGATTGCTTGAATGTCCCTCACAATGCATTGTTCACAGGCATAAATGTGGACTCCTTATCTGTTTTTGCTGAAATACTGATCAGGGTCACCTTCTCAGTTCACCCAGGTAGAGGAAGCAATACTGAGAATACAGCTTGCCTCTCTTTAGGCTTCTGGAAGCTGGTGTATCAGATTAGGCAGGGGGCTTTCAAATCCTCATGGAGTCTCCACAGCATATCAGAGCCATCTCTCAAAAAACAATTCCAATTCTGACTTCCACCTTGATAGACTGATCAACTCTCCTCTCAGGCCTCAGTTAGCATTTCATCTGCTTGAACATAGGGTCTCTTTCAGACTTGCCAGAACCAATTCCTAGGTACTCCCCTCAGTAATAGCCAACGTTTGTTATCTGGTTAAACAAAACACTCTTCCTGCATGTCACTGTTTCTGTTAGAACATTTTAATCGAGGCTCAGTCTGCAATTAGCCTCCAGACCAAGAAAACTTGCTTGGTTTGTTTTTTTCTTTTTTAACCCAAGCTTCCCAAAGTCCATCAGTCATTTTCAGCTCATAATGCAGAAGTTATAAAAGAATAAAATTAAAACAATGAAAATTCAGTGAGCATTCTAACAATATCTAGAAGGCTACAACACAATGGAAGCAAATGTTACAGTTATGAGGTTTATAAAACTGTTAGGTTTTGCGACTGTACCTTTCATTTAAAGTAAATTGAAGGGGATCAAGTGACCTCTGCTGAAGTCTGCCTGTTTACAGGCTGAGATGACAGGCTGTTAAACATCAAAGGAAGGCCCTGACTGGTTCACTGGAAAGATGATGTCAAGTATTCACATTTGCAGAAATGGTAGCGTGTCTGTGTTTACCGTGGTCAGACTGCTCACCTCCAGTGTTCCAGGAAAACATTGAGAATGGTGGTTTGTGAAACGTAATGGTTTGAACTGTCTATTTAATTTCTCAAAAGTACAGAATCTGGGTCAAAGGAATAGCTAACCAGTATTTCTACATGGATACAAGGCCCAGATGATTCACATCACCATTGAGTAGGACTTTGAAAGGGGAAGGGTTTCTAAGATATCCCTGAAACCTCAAACTTATAGTCAAGGTAGTCCACAAAGATTTGGGACTGGTTTAACATCTCTATGGTTTAGCGTGTGGAGATACAGGTGGGAGCTCATGCTCTGACCCATGAGAGACTGTGAAACAAGGCTGAAAGATTTGCTTATCTCACACTAGAAAGAAGAGAGCTAGGGAAAACCCATACTGTGGAGTACAGTCTATGGTTAAAAGTTACCAAGTTGGGAAAGGAAAAGAACTAATGTAAATGCTGGGAAGCTGTGAATCACTTGGATTGGGTCCAGTAAAATCTACTTAAGGGACAGAGCAAAGTAAACCACAGATTCAGTTGTGTTAAAAAAAAGAGTAAAATGTTCTGTTCTGAATTTTAATGGACAAGTGGCTACACAAATAATGTTTGGTCAATAGTGCTTTGGACCAATTGTTACAGCAAAAGTCTTAAATCATGACATCAAGTGGAAGATCAAATTTCTTTTTTATAAAGTTACCAGTCTCTACCTTGGTTGTGACACTAAAATATCTACTGCTATTTCAAGGTCTAATTTGAGAATTTCTGGACAATAATGTGCACTGTACCCTAGAAAAGCATATATTAGCCTTGGAAGGAGGGAAAAGGATTCACCTGACTGTTGCTCATGTTCCAAGAGATAAGTTATAGCAAAGTTTACATAAGCTAGGCTCGAATTTTCTAGAGTAATGAATGTTGAGTTTTTTTAAAAATTCATTTTTGTGGGATGTTGGTGTCACTGGCCGGGCCCAGCATTTATTGCCCATCCCTGGTTGCCCCTTGAGAAGGTGGTGGTGAGCTGCCTTCTTGAACCGCTGTAGTTCATGTGCTGTAGGTAGACTCACAATGCCCTTAGGGACGGAATTCCAGATTTTGACCCCAGTGGCATATTTCCAAGTCAGGATGGTGAGTTGCTTGGAGGGAAACTTGCAGGGGGTGTGTTCCTCTGACTCTGCTGCCCTTGTCCTTCTAGATGGAAGTGGTCATGGGTTTGGAAGGTGCCATCTGAGAATCTTTAATGAATTTCTGCACCGCATCTTCATAGAATCATAGAATTCCTACAGTGTGGAAACAGGCCATTCGGCCCATCAGGTCCACACCAACCCTCTGAAGAGCATCCCACCCAGATCCATCCTGTAACCCTACATTTCCCATGACTAACCCACCTACAGGGAAATTTAGCATGGCCAATCAACTTAACCTGCATATCTTTAGACTGTGGGAGGAAACTGGGGCACGCAGACACAGGGAGAATGTGCAAACTGCACACAGACAGTTGCCCAAGGGTGAAAATGAAACCAGGTCCCTGGTGCTATAAGGCAACAGCACTAATCACTGAGCCACCATGCCGTATCTTGTAGATAGTACACACTGCTGCTACTGAGCGTCGGTGGTGGAGGGAGTGGATGCTTGTAGATGTAGTGCCAATCAAGTGGCCTGCTTTGTCCTGGATAGTGTCAAGCTTCTTGAGTGTTGTTGGAGCTGTTCCCATCCAGGCAGTGGGGAGTATTCCATCATAGTCCTGACTTGTGCCTTGTAGATGGTGGACTTTGAGGGGTTAGGAGATGTATTACTTGCCTCGGTATTTCTGGCCTCTGACTTGCTCTTGTAGCCACAGTATTTATGTGGTGAGCCCATTTGAGTTTCTGGTCAATGATAACCCCCAGGATGTTGATAGTGGGGGATTCAGTGATGGTAACACCATTGGTGGTTAGGTTGTTTCTTACTGGTGATGGTCATAGCCTGGCATTTGTGTGGCATGAATGTCAATTGCCACTTGTCAACCCGAGCCTGGATATTGTCCAGATCTTGTTGCATTTGAACATGGACTGTTTCAATATCTGAGGAGTCACGAATGGTGCTGAATATTGTGGAATCATCGGCGAACATCCCACTTCTGACTTTATGATGGAAGGAAGGTTATTGATGAAGCAGCTGAAGATGGTTGGACCTAGGATACTACCCTGAGGAACTCCTGCAGAGATGTCCTGGAGCGGAGATGATTGACATCCAACAACCAAGACCATCTTCCTATGTGCCAAATATTCCTCCAACCAGCGGAGAGTTTGCCCCCGATACCCATTGATTCCAGTTTTGCTAGGGCTCCTTAATGCAGGAACCAGTGTCTCCAACCATTTCTTGATATCACATGGAGTGAATTGAATTGGCTGAAGGTTGGTATCTACAATATTTGGACTACTGGAGGAACCTGAGATGGATCATCCACTCGGCACTTCTGGCTGAAGATTGCTGGGAATGCTTCAGCCTTATGTTTTGCACTGATGTGCTGGGCTCTTCCATCATTGAGGATGGGGATATTTGTGCAGTCTCCTCCTCCAGTGAGTTGTTTAGTTGTCCACCACCATTCACAACTGGATGTGGCAGGACTGCAGAGCTTAGATCTGATCTGTTGGTTGTGGGATCACTTAGCTCAGTCTATCACTTGCTGCTTTTGCTGTTTGGTGTGCATGTAGTCTTGTTTGGTGGCTTCACCAAGTTGATACCTCATCTTCAGGTATGCCTGGTGCTGCTCCTGGCATGCCCTCCTGCACTCTCCATTGAACCAGGGTTGATCCCCTGGCTTGATGGTAATGGTTGAGTGGGGGATATGCCGGGCCATGAGGTTACAGATTGTGCTGGAGTACAATTCTGCTGCTGTTGATGGCCCACAGCGCCTCATGGATGCCCAGTCTTAAGTTGCTAGATCTGTGCGAAGTCTGTCCCATTTAGCACAGTGATAGCGCCACATAACACGATGGAAGTTATTCTCAATGTGAAGGCAGGACTTCATCTCCACAAGGGCTGTGCGATGGTCACTCTTACCGACGCTATCATGGACAGATGTATCTGTACCCAGCAGATTGGTAAGGATGAGGTCATGTTTGCTTTTCCCTCTGTAGGTTCCCTCGCCACCTGCTGCAGACCCAGTCTAGCAGCTATGTCCTTTAGGACCTGACCAGCTCGACCAGTAGTACTGCTGCTGAGCCACTCTTGGTGGTGGACATTGAAATCCCCCACCCCAGAGTACGTTTTGTGCCCTTGCCATCCTGAGTGCTTCCTCTAAGTGTTGTTCAACATGGAGGAGTAATGATTCATCAGGCTAGGGAAGAAGGTAAGTGGTAATCAGCAGGTGGATTTCTTGTCCATGTTTAATCTGAAGCAATGAGACCCCATGAGTTCTGGAGTCAATGGTGGGGTCTCCCAGAGCAACTCCCTCCCGACCGTATCCCACTGTATCGCTATGTCTGCTGGGTCTGTCCTTCTGATGGAACAGGACATATCCAGGGATGGTGATGGTGGTTTCTGAGACATTGGTATGATTCTGTAAGTATGACCATGTCTGGCTGTTGCTTGACTGGTCTGTAGGGCAGCTCTCCCAATTTTGTCACTAACCCCCAGGTGTTGGTAAGGAATACTTTGCAGGGTCAACAGAGCTGTTCCTGCCATTGTCTTTTCTGGTGCCTGGGTCAATGCTCGGTGATCCATCCACTTTCATTTCTTTAAGACTTTGTAGTGATTTGGTACAACTGAGTGGCTTGCTAGGCCATTTCGGAGGGCAGTTGAGAGTCAACCTCTTTGCTGTGGGCCTGGAGTCACATGCAGGCCAGACCAGGTGAGGCTGGCAGATTTCCTTCCCTGAAGGGCATTAGTGAATCAGGTGGGTCTTTCTGAGAATTGACAATGGTTTCATGGTCATCAGTAGATTCTTAATTCTGGATTCTTCTTTTTATCAAATTCAAATTCCACGATCTGCCATGGCGGGATTTGAACCCAGGTCCCCAGAACACTAGCTGAGTCTCCTGGATGAATAGCAATATATAGTACTAGGCCTTCGCCTCCCTGATAGCCGATACGCGTGATTTAGCTAAGATTTTAGATTTTTGAAATGACATCATGAGCTAATGGAGAGAAACCTGTCTCGTAGGTGGAGCAGAGTCTCAGAGGTTTAAAAACAGAGAAAGCTCATTTCGGAGAAAATTAAAGGAGTGTGGTTTCACACAAAAGGGTGACAGATAATGTGAAACTCTCCCACACAGAAAGTAACACATGCCAGTTCAATTCATCACTCTAAATCCAACAACAATGCATTTTTTGCTGGCCAATTTTTTGAGGGCAGAAGGTCACACGTTCGGCAGGAGGAGTTAAGATACAGATCAGTTCACAAGCAGCAGAGGAGATTCAGGTCACTGAATGTAGACCTTTATCTAGCTTCCTTGAAAGATGGTGATAGTTAATGTTTTTGCAATCCCCGTCCTTCAGTCGTGTTGTCACAGGTTTTCACACGTAGCCGTCTAGAAGCGATGTCTGCTCGCATAGATTTCTACTGAACTAATTCGACAAGTTCCTCCTTATCGGGACGATCACAGGAAATCAGAGCCGTGTTATCTGCAGAATGAGCTGTGTACTGCGACGCTCCAGATTGGCTCAGGCTCCTACACTTTCGATTCCACAGCACTCATCTCTCCCTTAAAGGCAAAAAAAAATTTGTTAATGATGCATTAATGATTGGGCACGAATGAACCGAACACAAATCGCAGGTAAGTTGGCCAAGGATTGGTGGAAAGAGGAGGAGAATCAGTGGCAGCCAGTGAGCTGCGGGATCTGGAATGCACCATTTAAAAGGTTGGAACCATACTCAACAGTAACAGACAAAAAGGGTGCTGCATAAAAACTTGAAAAGGGTGGCATGGTGGCTCAGTGGTTAGCACTGCTGCCTCACAGCACCAGGGACACGGGTTTGATTCCAGCCTCGGGCGACTGCCTGTGTGGAGTTTGCACATTCTCCCCATGTCTGCATGGGTTTCCTCCGGGTGCTCTGGTTTCCTCCCACAGTCCAAAGATGTGCAGATTAGGTGGATTGGCCACGCTAAATTGCCCCATTGTGTCCAGGGATGTGTAGTTTAGGTGGGTTAGACATGGGGAATGGGTCTGGGTGGGATGCTCTTCAGAGGAGCGGTGTGGGCTTGTTAGGCCGAATGGTCTGTTTCCACACTGTAGGGATTCTATTCTAATTTCAGTTATGGGAGCATGAGTAATAACTGGACAGCTCTTTCAAAGGACTGGCATGGACCAAATTGTCTCCTTCTGTGCTGTAAGTTCCTCAATTCAATGCTATAGCCACCACCAAGCAGTAGGATCAGGAAATAAGACCAAGACTTCCAAATCAAAAATAGGCTTGAAACAAGCAATTCAGCTTTGAAGAAAGGCTGGACAAGCTGGGGGTGTTTTCCTTAGAAAAGGCTGGGTTGGGACTGATTGAGATGTACAAAGTTATGTGGGGCATAGATAGTGGGGAGAAGGAGAAACCTTAAAATGGCTCTAAAATCAATAGTCACAGTTTTCAGGCAGGGAACAGCAACTTTCAAGGGATTTTGAGGATTTTTTTTCAGCCAGAGGTTGGTGGGTAATAGCTGCCTGAAGGATGGTAGAAACAGAATCCATCAAGACTTTTAAGAAGTACTTAGATAAGCACTTGAAATCCCACATCTTACAGGCCAGATGCTGGAAAATGGCATTAGAATAGATAGATACTTGGTGACATGTGTGGACATGATAGGCTGAAGGATCTTTCTCTGTGCTGTAAAAACTCTATATCCTGTGGATCCATTTCATGGTGAGACCAGACCTGTGGAGTACTGTAACCAGTTTTGGTCCCCTTATTTAAGGAAAGATATCAGTTACTCAGTGCCAGTTCAGAGAAGGATGATCCCCAGTATGGAGGGATTGTCTAATGAACAAAGGTGAAACAGGTTGGGTCTCTACTCACTGGAGTTTAGAGGAATGAGAGGTGACCACATTGAAATATACACGTTCTTAAGGGGCTTGACAGGGTCAACACTGAGAGGATACTTCCCCTCAAGGGAGAGTCTAGAACCTGAGGGCACAGTCTCAGAATTAAAGGGCACTAATTTAAGACTGAGATGAGGAGGAATTTCTTCTCTCAGAAAGTTGTGAGTCTTTTGGAACTCCTTGCCACAGAGAGCTGTGGGGGCAGAGTCCTTGTGTATATTTAGGGCTGAGATAGATAAATTATTGATCAGTCGGGGAATCAAACGTAATGGGGAAGGGGCAGGAAAGTGGGCGTAAGGGATGTTGGATCAGCCATGATCCTATTGAATGGCAGAACAGGCTCGAGGGGCCGAACAGCCTACACCTGTTCCTGTTTCTAATGGTCTTGTGGTAACAGAATTCAACCCTTCCGAGTTTGCTCTGAAACTTCTGCTGGGCTTGGTAGCACACTCTAGTTAGTCCCAATTTCTTTGCCAACTGAGCAAATAATGGTTACTAGTTTGTGACCAGCTCCTACCTAGATGGGTTCAGGGCTGGCAGACCAGGTGAACCATGCAATGGAGGTATGGTCTGGCTTCTCAGGTTGACACAGAGATCATGTGGTACAACTTGAAAAGGAGGAAAAACTTTATTTGCATCCCACTCAACATTCATTGACCAACTGATTCCAATTGAAAATGAGGTGACTTGGTCAGTTAGAGTCATAGAGTCATACAGCTCCAAAACAGACCCTTCAGACCAACCAATCCATACTGATAATAATCCCAAACAAGCTAGTCCCGCCTGCCTGTGCTTGGCCCAAACCTTTCTTGTTCATGTACTTATCCAAATGTCTTTTAAACGTTGTAACTGTACCTGCATTCACCACTTCCTCTGGAAGTTCATTCCACACACAAACCACACTCTGTGTAAAAAAAATTGTCCCTCATGTTTTTTTTTAAATCCTTCACCTTTCACCTTAAAAAAATATATTCCCCCAGTCTTGAAATCCCCCATCCTAGGGAAAAGACACCTACCATTCACCTTATCTATACCCCCCATGATTTTATAAACCTCTATAAGGTCAACCCTCAGCCTCCTACTTTCCAGTGAAAAAACTCCCAGCCTATCCAGCCTCTCCTTCTAACTCAAACCCTCCATTTCTGCAACATCCTGGTAAATCTCTCCTGAACCATCTCCAGCTTAATAATATCCTTCCTACAGCAGGGCAACCAGAACTGTACAAAGTGTATATTTATATAACTTCTGCTTTGTACTCTGCAATTCCTAAACTACACTGTCCCCGCACCACCTTTAATATTGTCCTTAAAACCCTATAACACCATGATCAGCTATCCCGACTTTCCCTTTCGAGCCTGAGCATAAATTTCAGCGAGGACACAAAACAGAAGTTCTCCAATTTCTAACTGCAGATTGAAGCTCATGGCTCACTCTAAGGAATGGACAGTAACTGCCGCTCTCGCTAGTGATGCCCACGTTCCAAACGGAAAGGCCAAATCTTTGAAATCAGTGACTGATAAAATTTTCAAGCCATCATATGTCGCCACTATCCAAATGTGGGGGAATTTAGAAATAAGGTGCACTGTTCCAAAATAGATCTTCTTTGCTCAGAGGGTTACTCGTCTTTAGACCTCTCTCTCTCAGAGGCAATAGGAGGCTGACTTAGATCTTTGATCGAACGATGGAGTCGAGGGCTATAAGTTGGGGAGGGTCTGCTGCAGCCAGGAGAGTAGTCATCAGACCACAATCAGATCCAAATGGCCATCTCTTGCCCCTATTTCCTCAGAGTTCTCTCAGTCTTTGCAAGCTCCAGTCACTCCTTGGCCATTTTTCTGAGGCAAAAGAATTTAAAACTTCGCCCTTGGTGTGAAAAAAGTTTCCCAACTTGACATCTCATTTGTGTAGCTCTAATTGGACGATAGTGGCTTCTCAATTTCCATTCCCGATGGAATTCGTTTCTGCTTATTGTCGGCAATTTATGCTATTCTGCGGGTAAGTAATGGTCAGGGTATGCTCAGTTCCAAAGGAGAGTGCTTTTGACTGTTTCAATTAGTTACTTGCAATTCTGTCTAGAAATAGGACAGGGATTACCGCAAGGCTTTCAGTAGGTCAATCAGGAGAGCCTGTGGTCACTGATTAGAGTTTAGTTATTACAGGCATCGATTGGGGAGGTGACAGAGACACACAGAAGTACATGCTTTATGAGGAGTACCACATTTAGATGTAGTCATGGAAGACAGCTGAATGGCACAGAGTCTTTGTAGGGGACTCAGTGAGCAGTCAGGAGCAGTTGGATAGACTCTGTGCTGCTCAAACTCAGGAAGTTCCAGGAATCAGTAGACAGCAATGTGTTGGAGTCAGGCTGTGCCTCAGTCCTGGGGAGCTGTGAAAGTATTTGAGGAACTCAGACAAAATCAGCAAGATTTATTCTGAGAGATTTGGGTGTTGGGTGGGGAGGCTAAAAAGCTGGTGAACAGCATTTGCAACTAAGCCAGTTTGAAGTTTGGGGTAAATCTCAGGGGGAAGACAAGCTCAGCGAAGCTAGCTATCAGACAAACAGAGGAATTATGTTTGTGAATGAGTGCTGGAGCATTGGGTTTGGATCCATGACAGCGTAGAACCAGCAAATGTGGGTGATTGATCAGAACAGGAGCAAATGTTGAGGCAGTCCAAGGTGTGTGAATTCATGAACAGGGTGCTTCAAGGCCAGATTGGCAAATATGAAAAATTGTAATCCCTTGTGAAGCTGAATGAGACTTGAGGACCCACTGTGTCATTAACACCTTGTGGTAATTACAGAGAAATCCATCTTGATTCCCTTTGTAATTTGATGTACACCGTGGATTATTCACTCATAGTGCATTGTCCATATCTACCCCATGCTAACTCTGGGTGTTTGAAAAAAGTTACACAGGTGTTGTACATTGTATTACCGTTCTAACATTTTGTGGTAAAGTTTATTGTTCAACATCGTGGAATCTTGTGACTTTATACTTTTAGAAAGTCCCCTGAATCTCTCACTTTTGTCCACTATAAAAAATATAGATCGGTGGTATGCAACCAGTTCTGGGAAAGGCCCCTCAGCAGAATAAATGCTTCCTCAGTAATTGAATACTTGATCAGTAGAGGGTCATTTCTAACTGACCATCCGGTGTTCCTTGAGCATTGAGTTTAGAGCCTAGAAAATGTAGGCAAATTCTGGCATAGGAACTGAACCCCAAATTGTATCTCAGATCAATGTTATCCCGAACTGAGTTGAAATCTGATTTTATGACAATTTGTTGAGGACCCTGCTCTGCTTCTTAGACTGACACAAATGCCACGAAAGAGAAAGAAATATTTAGGTGCATATAACATTTCTTACCATCTTAGGACATTCCAAAGCAGCTCACTGTCAATAAAGTGCCTCAGAGGTGTAGTCACCACTGTCCTATACAAATCATAGCAGTCATTCTACATACAGAGAGCTCTCCTAGATATAACAGGGTGATGACCTGATCATTTCTTTTAATGCTTTTCAGAAAATTAATTGAGTTGGCCAAGTTACAAGGGGAGAGCTTTTTGAAAAACAGAATTCCAGGATCTTTCATTGCCACCTGAGATATAAAGTCCCATTGAAACGTCTGACAATGTGGCCCTGCCTCAGTATCCCACGGGGAACATCAGCTGGATTCATAAAATCATCAGGGGCATGGATAGCCAAGATTTTTTTTCCCAGGGTAAGGGAGTCCAAATCTAGAGGTAATAGGTTTAAGGTGAAAAGGGACAGTTATAAAAGGTGCGACTTTTTCATGCAGAGGGTGGTACATGGGTGGAACGAGCTGCCAGAGAAAGTGGTGGAGGCTGGTACAATTACAACATTTAAAAGGCATCTAGATGGGTACATGAATAGGAAGGGTTTAGAGGGCAAATGGGACTTGATCAGTTTAGGTTGTCTGGTCAGCATAGACATTTTGGACTGAAGGGTCTGTTTCTGTGCTGTATAACTCCATGCCTATGAACACTTGAGAAGTGAAGTGCTCTGAAGTGCTCTGGTACTAACTCTAACCTTTCTGACTCAAAAGCAAGGGTGCTACCAACAAAACTAAATTGGACAATGACTCCTCAGCTAAAGCGGGGGTGATTACAAATCATGTTGACTCACCAGTGTTGCTGCCACCACACTTGTACTCGCTGACTCCGCCCATAAATGTGGCTTCTTCGCTCCACTGAAGCACTGAAGGTATTCTTTCCTCACCTTTGTCCAGCAGCCATGGTAGAAAAATGGTGTAAAATTAAAGACCCCTGGCAACTTTACTGTAACCGCAAAATCATTCCCGTATCTCCCGATGTTGAAGTGAAACAGCAAACGGGAGGACTTTGTGTTCTGTAATGCATTGCTATGCTGAGTATATGAGACACTTGTAAGACCTCAGCTGGAGTACTGTGTACAGTCCTGATGTAACATTACAGGAAAGGTGCGAACACATTGGAGAAAGATTGCAGAAGCGATTTATGAGAATGGTACCAGGGATGTGGGGCTTCGGTGATGAGGATAGACTGACGAAGTTGGGACTGCTGTCCTTGGAGTCTGAGAGGAGATCTGATAGAGGTTTTCGAAATCATGAGCGGGCTGGACAGAGTTGATAGGGAGAAGCTGCTCGTAAAAGGAACAAGAAACAGATGGCATGCATTCAAAGTGATGTGCCAATAAAGCAAGGGTGATGTGAGAAAATAATCTTTTTCCTTCAGCGAGTAGTGAGGGTATGGAATGTACTGTTTGGAAATGAGAAGGAGGCCGGTTCATTTGAGGCATGCAAGAGGGGCATTGCTTGGTTATTTGGACAGAAATGGTGTGCAGGGGTATGGGGAAAAGGCAGGGCATTGATTCAGGGACATCAAACCAGTGTAGGCATGTTGGGCTAAATGGCCTCCTGTTACATTGTAATCATAACGTAATGGAATTCAATACCTGTTTATTCAAAACACAAAGGATGATGAAGATGAAGGTGCCCTGGAAACTGTTGACAATGGTGAATAAATAGGCCATCACCGGGGTTTCTTTCCCAAAGTGAAACATGCCAAGAATCCAGGTACATCCCAGGATAAACACCTGTGCAAAGGCTTTAAATGTCATCATCCTAAGAGGAAAAAAAACATTGTGTAACTCTGTGCTTAAGGAATGAATTTATCACTGTAGTGCTCAATCGTTCTGCATTTGGTTAGGAGAGTGTGCTAACTGACCTATGCTCACTGTGCTTGATTGGTTAATCCTGGGTTAATACAGAGCAAAGATTGCAGGAAATTTAACACACGTGTTAATATATGATTTTTAGACTGAGAAACCAGTGTCAGCTCTGCATTGTAATGTAAAACACACAACAATTACCCCTTCATTCCTGACCGTCTCAGTCAAATGTACAAAATTCTTTAAAGGGCCAGACTACAGAAAGGGTGTTCCTCCAGGCTGAGAGTGGGACTGGAGGTGTATAGTCAAGAACCAAAGGGGATTGTTTCAGAATATAGGGCAAGCCTTTAGATGGAAGGTATGTCTTGAATCAGAGGCTGGTGAGTCTTTTGAACTTCTCCACCAGAAGGCTCAATCTTGAGTATACTTTAGATCTCTAGAAACTAGTGACATAAAGAGATATGGGAGAGCCTGGCAAAATTGGCATTTAGTTGGATGATCACTCATGATTTGAAGGGCAGAGCAGACTCAAGGGGCTTTGGCCTATTCATCCTATGATCCTGATTTGCCTGCATCGTGTTTTCTGCAAAATCTCTCTTCTCCTGGGGCCATCGATCAGTTGCTAGGGTCACAGTTCCACAGGAGTCATACTTTTTGCTGTATTTCATCTAAGTGGCCACACTTTTTATAGGATGGATTCGTTCACCATTAGACTCAGATTTCACGAGGCAGTGATTTAAGATGTAAAGAAAACAATACAACTCTTCCATGTGCCATAGGCCCCTTTCTCCCTCCGAACCAGGCTGTTAACATCTGTTTGAAGATTCTGGGTGAAGCATGTGATTTTAACTCAAAGTGAAATTAACATAATTTGAAATTGCCTTGATGCGTTAAAGCAGAGAAAGGAAAATCAAAACACACAACTTACCAGCAATGAGAGGCTATTCGACCCCTTTGAGCTCACTCTGTCTTTCAACAAAAACATGATCTGATTGTGGTCTCAATCCTACCCTCTTGGTTGCTGCTCATAGCTCTGGACTCTCCCATCTATCAAGAATCTGTTTAACTGAGCCTTGAATAAGTTCAATGACTCTTTTCTTAGAAAGATAATTCTGCATTCTACCAACTCAAAAAATCATATCCACTGCATTAAGCGCTTAGTTTTAAGCTATAACCTATAGTTTTAGACTCATGGGGAAACATCGTCTCAGTATCTGCTCCCAATCCCTCAGAACGTATTGTACATGTTTCAATAAGATCACCTCTCATTCTTCGAAATTTCAATGGATAAAGGCCCAACCTTTCTCCTTAAGATAAGCACTTCAGGTTTACCAGCCAAGGGCTGATTGGGCACATGTTTTGTGCAGTAATATAAGATGGGCCAAAATAGATTGGGAAGAATTTGTTGCGTAAAATAGCAGCGATGTAAGGATTAAGCTATGAACTAGGATGAAACTCTGCTCACTTTGATATATAATGCAACCACTAAGCGCAAGATTGGGGATTTGCAGCAGTATAGGAGGTAGCAGTCTCACCTGGTCTCCTCATACATGTATCTTACCTTCCCCTTGTTAGATATAGTTAATATGCCTGAAGAATTAATGTTACCTGCATATCTAAGATGAGTGCCTTTTATGTTGAAGCTTATTCATGGTTTATCCTTTACTCTTCGAAAGCGTAATGTAGGGAGAGGGATTAGTGATAGCACTGTATCCCAATAACGAGAAATGGGTACCAAGTCTTTCTTTTCACTGATACAGCAGGAAAGACCTATTCCTGTAGAGAGTGGCCAATAACTTAAAAACACAGATTAAAAGCATTTGGTGAGGATTAGAGGGAGATTGGGTGGAAATGTTTTCACCCAGAGGAAGGTGGGAGTGTAGAAACAACTACTGGAAGGGCAGTAAAAGGCAGAAACCCTCATTGCATTTCAAAAGCACTTGGATATGCACTTAACTTTCCAAATTTCCAAAGTTAGGAACCAAAAGTGGGAAAGTGGGATTAGGCTAGTCTACTCTTTTTTGGCTGGCACAGGTTAATGGGCTGATTGGCCTTCTCATGTGCTTTAAATATGATACACATAAGCTAGGCACAACTTGTCAGCTTATCTTGTGTTCTGTCCAGTCCTACTGGTGCCCTGCACAGTGAACATTGGCTCTCACCCAAATCCCTCAACAATAGTTGTTTTTATTATTACGTATGTTCTGTAAACCAGGAGATAGTTTATTGTTTGTCATTTGCGGCTTGAAAGATATGTGGAAATATTTTGCAGTGGGATGTGTTATGTATGAGTTCCTTCAAGCCGCAGCATTGTAGTGGAGTGTGGGATAACCACCTTCCTGTTTTAAAAAGAAGCATCTTGTTGAGTAAACAGTATTAAATTTATTGCATTGTTGCAACTATTTGCAGATTATATGACCTACATCAACTGCAGAGAATTTTTGGAGCACACTAGCCTTAGGTCTGTCTCCTCAAAATTCCCTCTTTATCCTGAACAAGTTTGTATTAACGAGGTTGTGATGCTCACTATCCTCAGTTAAGTTTTAACCCTTTTAGATCCACATGTAACACCTCCCACCAAGTCTGTTATTTTCCATCATAATTACTAAAAATTTGTTTAAAAATTTATGTTTGCCACAACTCATCTCTCCCAAAGCATTTCACTTCACAAATTCAGATGAGCGAGAAGTTTCACTCTTCTCCCTGAGCAAGTTCACTTGGAAAATGAAGGAATGGTAGTTTGTTGGGTTGAAGTTAGTTGACTGGGACTCATGGTCTTGGAGGCTGTGATTCAGCTTTGATACCAGGTTTGACTTTCAGCACAAGAAAATAAATAATCACTAGATGACTCAAATATATTACAATGAAGTTCCTGTAGCTTCTTTGTACAACTCCTTTAACAGCACAGCCGATGGATGATGTCTGATTGTTTGTATCCCTGTGATTGATTGTCTACATGATACATTAGGCTCCATTGCTCTGGACATCACATCTGCCATTATCTATGGTTTTCCCTGTGCACTGACTACTCTGTAAATGGATGTTATGAGGTGAAGTCTTCATATTCTTGGACACAAGCTCACACCTTCCTTCTTGACCAGATAAAGGCTGAAGGTACGAAATTGGCTTGAATGACTGGTGTCAGACCAAAGATGTTGTCTGAAAATCTCTCGCAAACCCACATCACTGAGAGAGCTTCTTTTTCAATCACAACATGTTGTGTTTCTGTATCAGACGTTGCTCTTGACGCACTTGGCTGTTCCTGGAAGAGTACTGGTTCTCAACCTGTAGCTAAAGCATTGCCTGCTACTACCTTTGAAAAGGAAGGATTATATTGGCTAAGACATCTATAGACATCAATATTTCCTGCATATTCTGTAAAGCATTCTTTAGATGAGGATTTCAATACCACCCCTGAATCTTATTGAGGAGTTGTCTCAAAGGTTCTCTGATGGTTCCTAGGTTCATCAAAATGTTGGCCAACTAATTCACCATACCCTATAATATCTAAAATCTGAACAGACCTGAGAAATGGTTAATGAAATAATTTATGTTTTTTTGTTATACCTTGGCCTTGCAAAAATGTATTTGTTCTGAGGTTGAAATAATTGTCAACAGCATTCAATATTTCTTTAAATATGTCTGATTTTTGGTTTATCACTTGGCAAGCAATAATATCATCTGTGGCACTCCCAGTTGTGTACAAAAGTTTTTTTATTTGTTCAGCTTATGCCTTAGTCTCCAGATTAGAAACTATTATTGACCTCAAGAATTGCTTTCTCTAAGATGTCCAATTTTCTTTGCTTTTATGATTCTGTACCTAGGTACTTGTACCTAAGATGGTGCCTTGTGTGGCGATATTCTACACTTTTCACCATACCTCTGTATTTCTGTACATGACTACACATGACAATAAAAAAAATTAAATGTAAAATTTGTGTTCTTTTTGGCCCATCTCTGGAAATATATCTTCTTGGCAAGGACACAGCTGATGCCATAGCTTCCTAATGTAATTAGATATTTTATCTTCTTCAGAGAGTTTTATTCTGCAGTAATGGTGAATCTCCTGTCCTTCATGGCAGTAATTGCAGGCTTTAACGTTGCAATGAAACTTTTCACACACTTCAGAGCCTTGCTAAGACTTTGTGATGTGGAGGTGCCGGTGTTGGACTGGGGTGGACAAAGTCAGAAATCACATGACACTAGGTTATAGTCCTACAGGTTTATTTGAAATCACAAGCTTTAGGAGCGCTGCTCATTCATTGGGTCTGATGAAGGAGCAGCGCTCCGAAAGCTTTTGATTTCAAATAAACCTGTTGGACTATAGCCTAGTGTCGTGTGGCCGCTGACTTTGCTATGACTTCCATTGCACTTTCCTTGTCTCTTAAAACATTTCTGTGTCAGATCAGAATCACGTAATTCTGAGAATTACTCTATGCTTATCTGTCTTTGTGGTTAGCCATTTACTGTGGCTCTCCATTCCTGTAATACATGATTTTTTTTATTCTGGTGGTCCTTTTTGTTTAATGTTTCCCAGACCTGCCTCTGTGTTCTCTGGCAGCAATGCCCAATAGGATATGCAACTTTAAAACAAAGTCACTTCCCTTTCAGCTTGAATCACCCTTTTGTTTGAGTTTTCCCAAGGGATTTTTGGCTTGGACACATGCAGTGCTCAATGTCCAGTCAGCTCAGACTGAATCAACTTGGACTCAGAATTACTTCCATAGACCGCTGCGTTACGATGTAGCTGCACCTCTGCCTTGGAGCTATGCGTGTGCTCCCGTGGTCTTCCGAAATGTTTTCCATATCATTCTCTGAAGTATTCTTCAGAGTTGAATGTTGCTACAAAGTCTGGGGGCCGTTGACGCAAACAGTAATGTATTTATTTTCAAGTTTTTTGCGTCGCCACCATAGTTTATCTCTGGTTTTTCCTGACGACCTAGTTTATTTTAGTTGGCACATTTAAAAATAGTGTTGGCCACCGCTGTTGTGTGGCAGGGACTTCCTTGTTGTTACCATGTTGCATGTGAGTTCTTTCAAGTCTAAAATTTGGATTAGGAACTGGAGTTCCTGGTCCATCTAGGATAGTCTTGTTGTCCAAACAAAATGGAGCCTCGTTGTAATACTCTAACCAAGATTGCATGAAGATGAGCCACGTTATTGCAGAGCTTGTTAGGAATACATTTGCCACAGGCCTGTCTCCCACAAGGTCCACCTATACTCCGAACTGGTGCCCATTTGGTGCCAATTACTACATGCAATCCTGTAGGAACCCGTTCAGAACTCTGTACGAGAAAGAAGGTGCAGAATGCAACTCATGGCAGATTGTTTGGCCACTGGAGATGGACAATTGAGGATAACTGTGCCATGTTTGAGACAGGCCATGTGTTGGACACTGGGTTCTGACTGTCCATCCCAATGCGCAGTTTATTAAAAGTGGTTTGAGAGTGCGTGCCCTACTAGCTCCATCTAATGGTATGTGGCCTTGAGTGGTTGAACCTGCAATCCTCAAACGAAGGGGGGAAGCCAAAGATTGATCAAAATAGTGGCTGCAGAACGTTAAATGGAGGCTAATGGAGGGATATTGCACGGCAAAATAATCCCCAAAGTCTTGGGAATGTTGGAAAAGCACGACGCAGTAAGCATAAAAATAGTTTGTGTTACAGTGACTTTACAGATTCAGTTTCATGGGCCCCAAGTGTGAGTTGTGTTGAATTTTTTGGAGGGTGTTTCACTGTCAGACCTCGTGAGATGTCTTGCCGTATCTGAGCAAACCCGCTTCGTTACATACCCACCCCCACGGCATCTTTCCAGGCTGCTTTGGTTGTGTATCACCCCCTATAGTTCCTCCTTTCCAAATTAGCTTAACTGCCATCCACAGTAGAGATCATCCCCCTGTTGGTCCTGTTTCCGCTCAGGTTCAATCTGTCAGACTAGATTCTTGTTCTGGAAGGGAATCAAGGGTCATGGGTAAAACACAACTGGTCCCAGTATTTCCAGAAATGAACCCATTGTTCCAGGAATCTGTAGCCCTCTCAATTCTTCAGCCATAAATTCATCTGCCTTATTTGCCTATTGCTAAACTCACTGGCATGTGGCACTGGGAGAAATCCAGAGATGATGAACCTTTGAGGTCCTGCAACAAATTAGGGAGCTAGGTCACACATTGAGGTCCTGCAACAAATTAAGGAGGTAGGTTACACATTGAAAAGCAGGACCTCAAAGGTTCATCATCTCAGAATTTCTCCCGGTGCCATATACCAGTGAGTTTAGCAATAGGCGGATAAGGCAAATGAATTTATGGCTGAAGAATTGAGAGGGCTACAGATTCCTGGATCAATGGGTTCATTTCTGGAAATATTGGGACCAGTTGTGTTTTACCCATGACCCTTGATTCCTGCTTTTCAATGTGTGACCGAGCTCCCTAATTTCTTTTTGCAATACCTTAGCCCACTTTCTACCTGTTCCACTCCTCCCAGGGTGATCCCACTGCTTCCCTTTCCCCTTCAGGATACCCTGTGGTCACTCAGAGACATCCTTGACCCTGACCCTATCCTGGAGTCACATCCAAGACCAGAAGACCACAAAGAAACAGGAACAGGAGTAGGCCTTTCAGACCCTTGAGCTTGCTCCAGCATTCAATTGGATCACAGCTGATCTGATGTTCCTTGCGTACACTTTTCTGTGTTTTCCCTGTAACCCTTGATTCCTCTCCAGTACAAGAATCTGTGTCAGCCTTAAGTATGCACAACGACTCTGCAACCACAGCTTTCTGTGGCAGGAAGTTCCAAAGACTCACAACCCTCTGAGAGAAGAAATCAGTCCTCATCGCAGTCTTAAACTGCCTGCAGAAACACCTGTCTGTACGTCTCGCTCCTATCATTAGCAAGTATGCCAGCCAATTTGTGCACAGCAAGCTCCCATATAGAGGAATGTCATGGTGGTCAGATTATTTATGCTGAGACGTGAATGATGGCTCCATCACCAGAGGGGGATCCTCTTGCTCAGCTTTGAAATAGAGCCATGGGACCTTTTATATCGATGAGAAATGTACCATCTGAAAGCCAGCCCTCACATCAGTGTACAATTCAGTCCAGCTTGTGCCAGGCGATGGTGGTGGAGTGGCAATTTCACTTAGACACCATTCCTAAGGCCTGGGGTCATGGGTTCAAATCTCACCTTGGCCGAGCTTAAGTTCAATTTATTAAATTTGGAACTCAGAGCTAGTCTCAGAAAGGTCTAGACCCGAAACGTCAGCTTTCCTGCTCCTCTGATGCTGCTTGGCCTGCTGTGTTCATCCAGTTTGTTATCTCATAAAATGAGCTATCTTTTTAAAAGAAGACACCAACCCACTTGAACTCAGGCCTCCTGGATCAGAGGTAGTGACACTACCACTGCACAAACATGATGCCCCGTCTCCAAAAAGTGATCATTGACTGGTGTAAATAAACTCATCTGGTACACTAACATGAAGGGGTCAGTTGTTACCCATCCCTAATGGAAGTGAGTGGCTTCCAAGCTATGTCAGGGTGCAGTCCATGAATCTATCACATGGATTCTGGAATCATATGTAGGCCAGACTGTGTAAGGATGGCAGATTTCCTCCGCTATAGTCACTATAGTGAACCAGGTCGATTGCTGCAACATTGATGATGGTTACCAATGTATCAACTACCGCGATGAGATTTCACTGCCAGATTTTATGAATTGAATTGTCCAACTCATCCATGCCGACCAGATATTCTAAATTCATCTAGTCCCATTTGCCAGCATTTGGCCCATATCCCTCTAAGCTCTTCCTATTCATGTACCCATCCAGATGTCTTTTAAATGTTGTAATTGTACCAGCCTCCACCACTTCCTCTGGCAGCTCGTTCCACACACGCACTGCCGTCTGTGTGAAAAAATTGCCCCTTAGGCCCCTTTATAATCTTTCCCCTCTCAACTTAAACCTTAGGGCGGCATGGTGGCTCAGTGGTTAGCACTGCTGCCTCACAGCGCTAGGAATCCAGATTTAATGCCATCCCTCAGTTGACTGTCTGTGGGGAGTTTGAACGTTCTCTCCATGCCTGCGTGGGTTTCTTCCGGGTGCTCCAGTTTTCTCCCACAGTCCATAGATGGATTGGTCATGGGGAATGCAGGATTATAGAGTAAGGGAGTAGGTCTGCGTGAAACTCTCTTTGGATGGTTGGTGTGGGCTTGATGGGCTGAATGGCCTGCTTCTGCACTGCAGGAATTCTATGCCCTTTAGGTTTGCACTCCCATACCCTGGGAAAAAAATACCTTGGCTGTTCACCCAATCCATGCCCCTCATGATTTTAAAAACCTCTATAAGATCACCCCCTCAGCCTCTGACGCTCCAGGGAAAACAGCCCCCAGCCTATTCAGCCTCTCCCTATAGCTCAAACCCTCCAACCCCGGCAACATCCTTGTAAATCTTTTCTGCATCCTTTCAAGTTTAACAACATCCTTCCTATAGCAGGGAGACTAGAAATGAGCACAGTATTCCAAAAATGGCCTAACCAATGTTCTGGATCCCTGCGTTACTTTTCCTGTGATATTACCACCATTTCCTCCAGCTCCGCAATATGAGAGGCAGAAATCAATGTATTAAACTTACCGTTTGTCTTTGATCTTCGACACTTTAGTGTTAAGACCAGAGAGTTGTTTCTGCAGTATCAGCAGTATGGAAATAAGGAGAATTGTGTTGACCTGTTAATTTGGAAACAATGATTTCAGAAATTTGAATTCAAGTAAGGACTGCATTTCAAGGAAGGACCAAATGTTTTACACTGTGCATTGTTTTAGAATTTGGAGTTGGCAAGGAATAAGATCAGGGAATAAATGTACACCCGGGACTCGGATCAGGCACATGGTTAAACGCCTCAGGGTCTTCAGCTTTTACTTTCCATTGTCAAGTTTTATGCAAGATCTGAGCTCCATTTGCGCAAATCCTAATTATTCCCAAATAGAGTGTTTCAAGATGCGATCCCGAACCAGTTGGTGAAACATGAAATTAGACTCTATTACATTTACCATGTCACCATTGTCTTACCAGAGCAGAGGACTGCTCTCCCATTTGAGGTAGACAATAGATGGTGCTTCAACCTGAGGGCCACCATACCTCAGTTGAGGGGAGAGATTGAGAAGGAGAATCCTTCATAGTAACCTTGGCCGGTGATGGGAATTGAACCCAGACTGTTGGAATCACACTGCTTGCAAACCAATTGTTCTATTACAATTCTCCGTGAAGGGGTTATTCCCAGAATTCAGCACCATGCATATCTGCCTCCTTTCTACCAACCCAGTGTCCCAGCAGTCTCTCTTTATAGGTGTTCCAAGTACTTAATCAATTCAGAAACAAAAATAGAAGTTGCTGGAAAAGCTCAGCAGGTCTGGCAGCACCTTGAAGAGAAATCAGAGTTAATGTTTCAGGTCGAATTCAGAGGAAGGGTTACTTGACCCGAAACGTTAACTCTGATTTGTCTCCACAGGTGCTACTAGACCTGCTGATCTTTTTCAGCAATTTCTATGTTTGTTTCTGATTTACAGCATTCACAGTTCTTTTGGTTTTTACTTAATCAATTCAGGTGTGCATCTTAACAATGGACTAACATCCCATTAATGATGTGAACAAAAATGACGTATCTACCATAATGACGAAGCAAACAGGTCCTAGGAAACTCCAGATAAATCCCTTCTCCAACTGTAACCAACAGCTGTGAATGAAAGAAAGATGGCACTCAGAAAGCGGGCGACACATCTATCCAGTAACTTATCTGCTACTCCTTTGATTCATTGATAAAATAAAGCCCCAGATATTATCTTTGAAGTGTGGTTGGAGTGGGGGAAGGTGGCAGAGTCAGAGTCTATGATGTTGGGAAATACAGAAATGTTTGTTTTCTGAACATACTGTGGGTTTTAACTGCGAGTCGTTTTTTTTAAGCTTTTTCTAGAAGGATCCAGCCTGATAGCTTGCTTTAATTGACAGACTCGCTGTTTGTTGAGCAGGAAATCTCGTGGTGGAGTGAGGAATGGTGGGAAAAGTGTTGTAGTGTCATAGAGTCATACCGTACGGAAAGAGACCCTTCAGTCCAACTTGTCCATGCTGACCAGAAATCCTAAATTAATCTAGTCCCATTTTCCAGCATTTGGCCCATATCCCTCTAAACCCTTCCTAATCATGTACCCATCCAGATGTCTTTTAAATGTTGTAATTGTACCAGCCTCCACGACTTCCTCTGGCAGCTCATTCCATACACACACCACCCTCTGTGTGAAAAAGTTACCCCTTAGGTCCCTTTTAAATATTTCCCCTGTCACCTTAAACCTATGCCGTCTAGTTTTGGACTCCCCCAACCCTGGGGAAAAAGACCATGGCTATTCACCCTATCCATGCCCCTCGTGATTTTATAAGCCTCTATAAGATCACCCCTCAGCCTCCGAAGCCCTAGGGAAAAGACCCCCAGTCTGTTCAGCCTCTCCCCATAGCTCAAACCCTCCAATCCTGGCAACATGCTTGTAAATCTTATCTACACCCTTTCAAGTTTAACAACATCCTTCCTATAGCAGGGAGACCAGAACTGAACGCAGTATTCCAAAAGTGGTCTCATTAATGTCCGACATAGAAGCAACATGGCATCCCAATTCCAACAAGTCAATGCACTGACATGGGGTTGGATGGGAGAGGTTGCCAGGGTGGGTGAGAAGGGGTAGGATAAGGAGGTGTGAAGACAGATGGTGATGGTTTGGTTGGTTTACTGGGCACTTTGTAGGGCTTGGAGAAAGAACTCCTGTTTCTGTTGATCCCCAGGCAGTGCTGTGATGGCACTTACAAAATGGATTTGACTATTTTTCACTTGTTAGATTTCCCAAGGCCTAGGAAGCCAGGCTTCAAAATAAAATGAAACGTGTCTCAAAAGCTTGAACCGCACAAATGTCTCCTGCAATTGAATTCGTTGGCCACCATTTGCACTGCCCCCATTAGGACGGACCTGACTTCAGGGCAGTTAAAAGTTTTTAACTTTTAACCTCTAGGTGAACCGAAACTACTGGTTTTTGGAGATTAATATTCTAACAGTCTAAATCCCGGACATGTCCACTTATGTGATACAGATGGGTTTCCTAACAGTTCATTTTTTTAATGGATGATGAAAAGAATTTCCTAAAACCCACATTTTATTGCTCCTGTAGTTTAAAAAAATAAATGAATTAAGACTCCCACACCGGCCTGGTTTTGATTCCACACCAATGGGCTTTGTATGTGTCAAAATTAAGTTTAACTCTGCCCCGCTAATGAATGGGAACAACCCAAGAAGTGCCCGTCAGTTGGGGTTTTCCAATGGGGTGATGGCTCTCCAGGATCTTAAGAGTTTTACACCAGCCCCCATTTCTTTGGTAACTTGCCTGTCCAAGTTTCAGGTGCCAGAAGCCTTCAGAACACTGTTAGCTCAGCTATGTTGCCTCGTCTGCAAATACATGCATCCAGATCTCCCTAGTAAATTATGCATCAACTTGCCCAAGGCACTTGGGAAAGGCATCATGAGATGAAAGGGATAATCAAACAAAAGGGTCACCAAAAGCTTGGTAAAAATAGTTCTTTGGAGATCATTTCTCACCGTCTCTCTTTTCTTCAGCCAGTTACCAGCTGCCTGATTGCCACTTGCTTTAGTTGTTCTCCCTTCCATTAGCTCCCACTTTCCATTGGGAATATCCTGAAGGAAATGTGTTGCATGGAGGAGGGGATGCAGTGGTAGGCTGCTTAGAAAGTAGCAAAAGTGATATGCAATGGGCCACAGTTTTGTACTGTAGGTATTGATCTTTTAAAAGTAGACCTCAGGACGTTGGTGAGGCCCCCCTGGAATATTGCGTTCAGTTCTGGTCGCCCAGTTATAGGAAGGATATTGTTAAACTGGAGAGGGTTCAGAAAAGATTTGCCAGGATGTTGCAAGGGATGGAGGGTTTGAGTTGTAAGGAGAGGCTGGATAGGCTAAGACTCTTTTCAGTGTAGGAGGTTGAGAGATGACCTTATTGAGGTTTATAAAATCATAAGGTGAATGGCAAATGCCTTTTCCTTGGGATGGGGAATTTAAAGACCAGGGGGCATATTTTAAGGTGAGAGGCGAAAGATTAAAAAAAAAGACATGACAGGTAAATATTTTACACAGAGGGTTGTTCACATGTGGAATGAACTTCCTGAGGAAGTGGTGGATGTGGGTACAGTTGCAACGTTTAACAGACATTTGGATAAGTACATGAATAGGAAATGTTTGGAGGGATATGAGCCAGGAGCAGGCAGGTGGGACTAGTTTAGTTTGGGATTATGGTCAGCATAGACCATAGTTAGACTGAAGGGTCTGTTTCTGTGCTGTATGACTCTATAACTCACAAACCGAATGCCAGACAGCGAGTCCTTTTCAGCATCGTACCTTAGAAGGGTCGTACCTGTTGTGGTTAGAGTGTCCTGTAGATTTACAAGAACGATACTTGGATTTCAATGATGAAACTGTAAGGAGAAGGAGAGTCCAAACCAGAATCATAGGTCCTGCAACTTAAGAGTTTCAGGGATGATTTGGTAAAAATGTTATGACAGCAAGAGGAACTGGTGGGGTGAGTACCAGCTGGCAGTCCAAGGCTAAGGGGCAAATTCAAATAATCAGAACCAGACCATTTGGAAGTGAGACTAAAAAATGCTTCCACACACGTGAAGGGTCGGAAATGTTTGGAACTCTCTTTTGTAGAAAGCAGTTGATGCTAGATCAGTCGTAAATCTGAAAGATTGTTGCTTGCTAAAGATGTTAAGGGATATGATAAGTTAGGTCACAGATCAGTCTTTAAAAGGAGGAATGGGCTCAATGTAGAAATATAGAAGCAAGAGTAGGCCATTCAGCCCCTTCTGCCTGCTCTGCCATTCAATAATATCATGGCCGATTATCGAGCTCAATACCCTAATCCCAGCCTGCCCCTATTTCCCTTGATCCTTTTAACCACAACAGTTATATCTACCTCCTTGTTGAAAACACATCTTGTTTTATCCTCAACCATTTCCTGTGGTAGTGAATTCCACAGGCTCACCACTATCTGGGTGAAGACATTTCTCCTCAGCCCAATCCTAAAAGGTTTATCCCTCATCCTTAAACTATGACCCCTGATTCTGGACTCCCCACACCATTAGGGACATCCTTCCTGTATATAACTTGTCTAGTCCTGTTAGAATTTTAGAGGGCTCTGTGAGACAACCCCTCTCATTCTTCTACACTTCAGTGAAATACAATCCTAACCGACTCAATTTCCCCTGGTACATCAGTCTTGCCATCCCAGAAATCAATTTGGTAAATCTAAAGCACAGAAACTCCAGTTCCTATGTACAATATAACGAGATGTGCAAATGATAATGCCACAGATGATGTGTCTATGGTACAGATTCAATGGGCCACAGGTCTCTTCTGTACTGTATGATTCTGAATTCAGTAACAGAGACTGAGACTAGACAAAGAATGGAAAAATTGAGGCCTTAGACACTACACTGGAGAGCTGTATTGATAAACCATGATGTTACAGCACATTAGGAGGGGAACAATCTTAGAGATAAGGAACCAACAGGCTCAGGGAGAATGTAGTATAGACACCCATTGACAAGAGATATAAGGATTGGTATCTCAATGTGCAAGTAGCAGTGTTTGATTGAATCAGCACTATGTCCCTAAATGCCCCCACTATAACTCCTCCCTATTTATTTCAGAACCCCCTTCCCCTCCCCCATTTCTGAAGAAGGGTCTAGGCCCGAAACGTCAGCTTTTCTGCTCCTCTGATGCTGCTTGGCCTGCTGTGTTCATCCAGCTTTACACCTTGTTATCCCACTATGTCCCTATACTCTTTTTTCTATTCATTTAAGGGATTTTGGCATCGCTAGCTGTTCAGCATTTACTGCCCCTCCCTAGTTGCACTTGAGAAGGTTGGTGGTGAGCTGCCTTTTGGAACCAATGCAGTCCACGTGCTACAGGTAGACCCGTAATTCCATTATAGAGGGAATTCCAGGATTATGACCCAGTGACAATGAAGGAATGGCGATGTATTTCCAAGTCAGGATGGTGAGTGGTTTGGAGGGAGACTTGCAGGGGGTGGTGTTCCCATGTATCCGCTGCCCCATTCAAGAGTAGATTGGCAATTGGCCAGGTTAGATTAGTCCTGCTTTTAACATACAAGATATACCTGGGCAATTTCCACATTGTCGGGTAGATGCCAGTGTTGTAACTGTACTGGAAGAGCTTGGCTAAGGGAACGGCAAGTTCTGGAGCACAGGGCTTAAGTATTATTTCCAGAATGTTGTCAGGGGCTGTACCTTTGCAGTATCCAGAGTCTCCAACCATTCTCGATATCATGTGGAGTGAATCGAATTGGCTGAAGACTGGTATCTATAATGCCGGGGACCACTGGAGGAGGCTGTGATGGATCATCCACTCGGCACTTCTGGCTGAAGATTGCTGCGAATGCTTTAGCCTTATCTTTTGCGCTGATGTGCTGGGCTCTTCCATCATTGAGGATGGGGATATTTGTAGAGCATCATCCTTTAGTGAGTTGTTTAATTGTTCACTACCATTCATAACTGAATATGGCAGGACTGCAGAGCTTAGATGTGATCTGCTGGTTATGGGATCACTTAGCTCTGTCTATCACTTGCTATTTATGCTGTTTGGTGTGCATGTGGTCCTGTTTGGTG